AATGTGTTATTGATTATCTGTCTGAGGAGTCCATTAAAAATATTTTAAAATACCCACTTGACAGAAATGCTTGGCAGTTGAATCCAAGGTCTGGGGCTCACAACCATCCTTTGGTGATCAGATGCCTCTCTAGTGTCATGAATACTGGAACTTGGTTCCTGGCCTTGCTCATATCTACACAAGCGGACTTGTCAGGTGCAAGTCGAGGCTTTTCCTGGACATGTGGCCCTGCTGAATCCTCAATTCAAAGCCAAGAACAGTTCGACTGAAGTCTCAGTCCAACCTGCTAATATTTCTCACATATTCACAATGGACATATTACAAAATTAAGACTCCTGCATCTTCTATCCCTTTTCAAAAACAAATGTACAATAAACCTGTTCAGTATTAAAAAGGGATTATTCCTTCCATGATACCCTGGTCCACACCTCAGTCACCTCCCTTTCCTACGGCACCTTTACATGAAAGCACAGGACATATAAGATCTGCTTTCTCACCAAACAAGGCTCCAAACGCTCATTCTAAGTGAAGCAGTGATTTACTTATACTTTTTTCAAATTATTCTGTAGTATTTCTGGCTAGTGATGTGATATTCTCTTCAGTGGGGAAATCAAGCACAAGCATGAAGACTGCTTTGTAGAACGTCTTTGTTCAATCTGCAGGCACGAGCCTAAGCTTCCATTTACTTGTCATTTCAATTATCTGCCTTGTTCGAACTCTGAGCTTTCTGGCCTTGGCGTGCCTTGTTGTTACAAGGCAATGCAAGCACGCTTGAGGAAAAGCACTTCATCTTTTGATTCAGCACTTTACAGTCTTATGTAGTCAATATTGAATTGAGTTATTTTAGATCATAACCTTTGTCTGTATTGATTTTATGTATTTTATTTTTGCTTTTCCTCTCCCTCTAGTTTCTTTGTTAAATCTTTTTATTTTGCATCCAGAGAGGTGCAGTCCTACAGTTTGCAACTTTGTTGGACGTATTTTGTTTCCTTACCTGTCCTATCACTATTCCTTTTGGTTTTCTACCATGGCATACTTTGCCATTTAATCTCTGTATCCTAATCGCGGATCCTAATCTTTTTGTCTGCATTTCCCCCACACCTCCTCTTTCAGTTGCTGAAAGTCTAACTTGTTTCTAACTTGTGATGAAAGGTCCCAAACTTTTTTTTCACTCTTTACTAATGCGTCCAGACTTTCTGTGTATTTCCAAGGTTTTCCACTTTTGTTTCAGATTTCCAGAATCCAATTTTTTTGTTTCTTTGGGATGATCATATATAAATAGATAAAACTGCCTGTCATTAAGAGACATAGTTCTTTTTCTGAACAGGCTTTATATTTCTATTGTGCACGTAAAATATTTGATAACTTCAGCATACATTTGAAGTAAATAGATTTATTTCAAGCATTGCTTTGTTCATTTTTTGTCCCAAGGAAGTGTAACAGGGATAATAGCCTACATTTCTGCTCATTGTAATTAGAAAAGGTCAAAAGTCTAATTCTGCTAATCAAGGACAGCTGAATAAATTATGATGTATGTGACAATAAATGTCATTGACAATCAATGTGGTAAATCAAATTGACCCCATTTTGCTGGTAATTATAGCAAAAACTTATAGTGTTATGAATTATAATTATAAAAGCATCATTGCGATATAATGATGGGCATGTTTGTAATGTTTATTATGATGATTTTTTGGACAGAAATAGTGTGCAAGGATGTGTGTAAAATGCAGGATATTGGCACTAGGTAATGATGGTTGTTTCAATGTCTAGTGTAGGGACGATGGGCCAAATAGCCTCCTTCTGCACCATAAACACTTCTGAGATTGTTTGTTTCTTGTAATCGCAACATTGTTATTAGTCACATGCTACATTCGCAGCTGTTTGAATGTTCCTTCACGTGATGTGGGCATCAGAATTTGTTGCCCAACCATAACTGTCCTTGAACGTGGCAGCGAGCTCCAGTCCAACTGGTGTAGGTGCACACACAGTACTGTTAGGGATGGAGTTCGAGCTTTGACCAAATGACAGTTAAGGAGCAGTGATATACTTCTGAGTCAGGATGGTGTGTAGCCGAGGTGTTAGAGGTCACAGGTTTGGAAGGTCTTGTTAGATGAGTGGAATTCTGAAGAGCATCTTGGAGATGGTATACTGCTACTACTATGTGTTAGAACTAACTTGTTCCTTTGGGAGTAAGTTACTGGCCTCAGAATTCCCAGCTTCTGAAATATTCTTGTAGTTCTGGAATTTTTGGTTCAGTTCAGCTTCTGACCAATGGTAATAACTCAGTCCTTCTGGTTGAAGGTGATTGCAACTATTTCACAAGGAATTGAGGGGCACCCCCATCATTGAGGATAGAGATATTTGTTGAGCCTCCTCATCCTGGCAGTGGACAATTAAACAGCTAACATTCACCACTGGATATAGAAGGAGTACACAGCTAAAACCAGATCCGTTCGTTGTAAGATTGCATAGCTCTACCTGTTGTATTTATCTGGCAAGTCCTATGCTGTAGCTTCATCAGGTTGACACCTCACAGGCTGCTGCTCACAATCCTTCCTGTATACTTCCTTGAAGCAGGGTTGATCTCCCAGCTTGATGGTAGTAATAGAATAGGATATATACCAGACCATGAGGTTAAAGATTGTAGTTGAACACAGTGCTGTTGTTGTTGGCCCACAGCCCCTCATGGTTAGACAGTTTTGAGTTCTCCATGTGTTCTGAATCTATCCATTTAACATAGTGGTAGAGCCACATAACGCAGCAGAGGGTGTTCTTAATTTGAAGATGGGAGTGTGTGCTGATGTTCTCTACCTATTCCGTGGTTCTTACCAATTCTGTCACGAACAAATGCATCCACAACAGTTAGTTTGAGGACAAGGTATGATAGGATTTTTTGTTCCTCAAGTTTGTTCCCTTGCCACCTGTCTTAGGCAATTCAGCCATTCTGGTCAGTAGTGGGAGTGCAGAAAAGGTTTACCAGATTGACTCGGGGGTGGGGGGTCGGGGGGTGGCGGAGAATGTTGGACATATGAGAAGACTATGGATTTCTTAGTCCTCTATTCATGGAGGTTTAGGTGAATGAGAGGGCATTTCATTGAAATATATAAAATTCTGACTGGGCTGGATAGACTAGATGAAGGAACAGTGTATTCCCTGGCCTCGAGCAAGGGATCATGATCTCAGTGGCAGTAGGCCATTTTGAATTGGGAAGAGGAGAAATACCTTCACTCAGAAGATGGTGAACACATAGAATTCTTTACCACAGATGGCTGCAGGACCATAATGATTGATGTTTTTAAAGATATATATATATTTCTAGAGGCAAAAGGTGTCAAGGGTTTTGGGGGCGGGGTGATGGGATTATGACTTTGAGATAGAGGATCAGCCATGACCCTGTTAATGAGTCAGAAAGGCCCAAGATGATGGTTCCATCATCTTGACAATGGATATTGTCATCTGAATCAGAATATATTCAGTGCCTTGCCACCATCAGCGCTTCCTCCAAGGATCATCAGACGAGGGAAGGTGTTCAGTAATAATCAATAGCAAGTTTCCTTGTCCATTTTAAACTGAAGTTGTGAGATTTCATGGGATCCAGAAATAGTGTTAATAATTCACAAGGCAACTCTCTCCAAGTTATATCCCAATTTACCACCTCCTCCATTTGGGGCTGTCCTTCCAGTGGAACAGGATTTATGCAGGGGTTGTGACAATGGAGCATGGGACATTGGCTGTAAGGTAGTATTGATTCTGTGAGTGTGGCTATGACCTGGATTTCGTTCCCAAGTCAGGAGTGCAGACTGCAAGTCCAAACTGAAAGAAATTGCCTCGAGAGTTGGGATTTTGCATTCTAAAGAGGCCAGTTTCTCGGGGAGTCTGGTTGAGGGACTCCAGATGGGTGCAGAGGCTGCCAAATGCAGGGTTAGGCTGATTTTTGGCCCCCTCTGCCATTATCACAGCAACAGAGAGGCTCTACATCATTTCAAAAATCCAGGCCTAAGGCAGGCTGTTGCCTTAATTAGCCTGTAGGACACCTTTCTCAATATTGGACAATAGCACATTCAGCTGTTAGTAAGGAGGACTTTGCAGTGCTGAATGTGCTATTGTCATTTTGTAATTGATGCAAAGCAGTCCTTCCAGTTTTATTCCTTTTCATCTTGTCCATAGTAGCATAACTTAGTAACTTGGTAAGGTCATTTCAGAGGTCAGTTAAAAGTCAGTATTGCTGCTGTGGGTCTGGAGTCATATGTAGGCCAGACAAGGTAAGGGTAACAGATTTCTTTTCTGAAAAGAATTTTAATGAAGCAGATGGGATTTTACCACAATTGTTGATTGATTCATGGTAACATTGTTGAGACTTGCTTTCAATTTCACATGTTTACTATTCAATTGTATTTTTAATTAATTGATTGATTATGAATTCATTTGAACTTTTGTCCACAGAGCATTAACCTGTACTTTACCTGTTCAGTGACATTACTTACGTAACATTGTCTCTCCCAAATATACTGAAGCAAATGTACATCAAGAAACAGGAATGTGTGGAATTATAATGACCTTAAATGTTCAAGGTATAACAATGCTGATCACTATTTGTAAGATGAATAAACTTACACAATAAATAAGTTACAGGAAAACAGTTGTGCCCTGTTCACTGTAATTCTGATCAAAAACATTATGGAGAGATTTTAAGAACTGTTTAACAATGCTGAAGTTTCAAAAGTGATGGAAGTACTATGTTTGAATTGTGTGAACAGTGACATATGATGTTCATGAGTGGAAGGTTCCTAGTTACGAGCTGCACTCCCAGATTCTTACCATCTAAATAAAATAATATTTCCACAATATGAAGAATGGTTTCTTAAGGTGTTATCAGAAAACAGAAAGAAAACGAGGATTTGATCCTGGTTTACCATCATGTGGTGAAAATATAACTGCATTAATTTTTAATGAATGAGATGTATCTACTGTTCTAATAAACTGATTGATGTTAACAGGAGTACACAATCGATGTGTTCTTTCGACAAAGTTGGAAAGATGAAAGACTAAAATTTAAGGGTCCAATGAACATTCTTCGATTGAACAACCTGATGGCCAGTAAGATATGGACACCAGACACATTCTTTTATAATGGCAAGAAGTCAGTGGCACATAACATGACCATGCCAAACAAACTGCTACGAATCCAAGATGATGGGAAGCTTCTATACACAATGAGGTAAAATGTTCAATATTTAAAAGCTGCAATAACTAATTATGCAACTCCTCCATTTTGTCAGCCAGTGTTCAATGCCCCTGCCCTGATGCTAGTGTTAATGAAGACATGCATATGACAGAGGCGGAAAAAAAAACTCCTAAATAACTAAAATATCAGGCTACTCTGATGTCAGTCTACAATGGCCAGGTAGCTAGATGATCCTTCCAAAACCTGATTTTGGATTGTTTCAAAAGTCTTTTAACTGCAACACAGGTCATTGCCATAGTCCTGAAAATGGTATGAATCATGTTTACTCACTATTAGCTCGGAATTGCAATTATTTGTGTACAAAATTCACATACACTATGGATAAAAATGCAGAGGTAGTAGGAACTGCCTATGCTGGAGAATCTGAGATAACAAGGTGTAGAGCTGGATGAACACAGCAGGCCAAGCAGCATCAGAGGAGCAGGAAAGCTGACGTTTCGGGTCGAGACCCTTCTTCAGAAAAATGCAACCATGGTCATGCATGGCATTCCAATGGTGGAACTGGAAAAGTGCATCTTTTCTGCTCTCTACCTTTTTGTTCATTTTCTCACTGTTACAATGGGAATTTAAAACACCAGAGGCATGTGTGTGTGTGTGAGACATGTGTGATTATTAGCAAGAAAGCTTTACAGCACAGAAACTTGTTATCAGTCGGCAATGCAGCAAAAAGTGAGGACTGTAAAAAAGCAGAGATAACAAGGTGTAGAGCTGGATGAACACAGCAGGCAACTTTCCTTGTCCAATTTCATTGTTATGGCAGAAGATTTTTTGACAGCAAGAAGCTGGTATGTCTGTTTTATGAATGTAGATTTTTCTTGTAATTGATACATTTTATATTGGTTTCACTTTGTTCATATATGCATTATCATTATTTGTTAAAACTAACTTAATCGAAGAGATAAACATACAACATGCCTCATGATTGGCATACAACATTGGTGAGAGGGGAGCTAGGAATATTCCTTTACCGTGGAAGAAACATGGTTCTTTTTTGCACTTACTGAATATTTATATTAGAGTTCAGTGTTGCACTTGCTACTCTCTGAGACATAGCTGAACTTGCTGACTCAGCTGATTATCCCTTCTTTGCATTGTAAAGAAAATTATCGGAGATCACGCTCAGTAGGGAGAGTTGAAATGTTATAGGTGAATTCAAAGCCTGTAAGGACTCTTCCAAGCAACAGTCCAAAATGGACACACATTTCAGTATTACTGAGCCAGCTCTTTAAGTCTGACATTTTCTTACCTTTCCTCACCCCATCCCCATCCCCAACCTTTGTAATTTCTTAGATCCCTCTTCCATGCTTCCAACTTCCTCCACAATCCCTTCACTGTTGACTTGCCTTACTGGCCCTGAGCTTTTGTGTAAGCTGCCATTCTCCTGCTCTCCTCCCTTGTCTCACAGAGTCCAACCAGGAAAATTGCTGGTCTCAGTCAAACTGCACTAAGTTGTGTGTACGTCACCTTTAAATAAATGTGAATGAGGTGGCAACAGCTTCTCATGTGTGGCTCACTTTATCAGGAACATAAGACATAGTTACAAACAACGCTGTATGGAGCTGGAAGGACACAGCAGACCAGGCAGCATAAGAGGAGCAGGAAAGTTGACATTTCGGGACGGGACACTCATTTCTGAAGAAGGGTCCCGACCCAAAACGTCAATTTTTCTGCTCCTCTGATGCTGCCTGGCCTGCTGTGTTCCTCCAACTCCATATGGTGCTGTCTCTGACTCCAGCATCTGCAGTTCTTGCTATCTCTGAAGCATAGTTATAATGTGTTTTAATGGGCGTTCATGGAATGCAAGTATGTTACAAGAAAGAAAGTGCTGATAGGTATCATGAAGCCCGAACCACTACAAACTAAACACTGAGTTAATGTCTAAATTTGAAGCTTCATTGGGAAAACAGCCTGTCACTGTCATCACATGTCCCAGACCTGCAGACCCCATTATCACTCTTAGGCCCTCATCAATGTAAAGGCAAAGAAGATTCACAGGAGTAGAAAAGACATAGAAGCTAAGCAGCTACATGCACCCATCTTACAAATCTGGGCTTTTCATTCCTTTTACTCATTCATTTAAATCTGTAGCCTAGAAGTTGTTCTGACAGCTCTGAGAGCTAAGGCCCAGTATGCTGGACAACAAGAATTCAACTGTTTCAGTTAGATAGGCATTGTCCACCTTTTGTGAATAAGGACAAAAAAATGTGTTGTTTACTGATGGCCAAAACTGTTGATGTCTTTTTGTCAAATGCAGTTAAAACTTTTCAAGCACCACAATCCCCTCCACGGCAAGGCCAAAACGTAACGTAGCTAAATGTGCTGTCAGAGGTATTATTTAAAGAAACTATTTGCTGCTGCTCCTATTGCCACTGGCCCTCACGCCCACCCTCCTCCTCAACCACCAAATACCCGACTCTAATGCTGGATGCGACCTGTGGATCTACTTGCCTTAGGACTGATGTGAAGTTACCAGGAGTCTGAGCTCCGACTCACCGACAACCACTTTACTTTGCATGCCATTTTCAAGGACTTATGTCAGCACTCTTCAGTACTAAACTCCTTTTAAAATTGTACCATTTTAGTTTTCCTGCCTCTAAATTTCAATTCATAAAATAAATCACATCGCACTATCTTATGTTTAATTTCACTTGCCACGTACGTTCCCATTTCACCATTCAGTCAATGCCTGTTACTATCCTTCTCACTGTTTACTACACTTCTAAGTTTTGCACTAGCTGCAGTGAAAGTGTTTATTTTGTTTTGAAGTCAAATTAAGTTGTGTGAAATTATTCATTTACACAAGAACATGGAAAAAATGTGAAAAGCATCGAAATGTTTTTCTATCAAAGTTGGCGCACTAATTTACTTTATTTTTAGCTTTGCCATTTAAAAAATACAAAGTACAAATGGTCTGCAATTGAAGAGTTACAAAGTTGAAACAGTAGGATGGTGCATTTATATTTTATTGATGTCATGTCATGCTGCTGTGACGAATTGATTAATTGTCATCCTCCAAGTACAGTAAGGTCACTTTATGCACAACAGGGATCATATGAGCCTGAAGAAGCCAACTCTCCAGTATATCTATTAATATTAGCAAAAACTGTAAAACAAAGTTCTACTAGTTCAAGTTGCCTTATTCTTCTGTTGAAAATGTCAATTACAACAGCTTGTGAACTGTAAGATTTAGAAATAATACAATTGGATAATGAATTGAATAATGGATTTAAATTTTTGAAATAGGAGCTGGAGTAGGCCCCCAAGCCTGCTCCATCATTCAGATAAACTCAGGGCTGATTGTTGCTTTAACTCAAGTTCCTCACCTTCCTCAATAATCCACGATAATCATAATCTAAAGATTCATCCCCTCGCGGATCAAAACTCTATCCAATTCAGTCTTGGATATATTCACAGGCCAAGTCTCCCCTGCACTTTGAGATTGAGATTTCCAAAGATTAATAATCCTCTAAGAGAGAAAAAAAACCTCATCATCTCTTCCTTAAGTGGGAGACCCCTTGTTTTTAAGCGGTGCCCCTCATCCTAGATTCCCTTACAAGAAGAAACATTCTCAGCATTTACCCTGTTAATGCTCCTTTGAACCTTATGTTTGAGTAAGATTATGTCTCATATCGCTAAATTGAGCAGAGGCCCAAACTACTGAATATTTCTTCATAAGATGGCCCCTTCATCCCAGGGATCAACCGAGTGAATTTCTCTGAACAGATTCCAATGGAAGGGTATCAGAGTGGTATACAATAGTCTAACTGCAATCTAACTAATGCCCTTGACAGTTTTCACAAGACTTCTTGCTCTTAATCTCCATTTCCTTTACAACAAAGATACTCATGACATGGCATGCTGTATAACAGTAGTACTTTTAGCTAGTCACTGAATGTGTGTTCTCACAGGCTTACTGTCCAAGCAGAATGTCCAATGCACTTGGAGGATTTTCCAATGGATGCACATGCTTGTCCCTTGAAATTTGGGAGCTGTGAGTACTGAAATTTGTAAATGAGCTTGCTTTTTGATGACATTTGTATCATTATTTTGAGCCTACTGACATATTATTTGTATTTTATAATTTAGTAATTAAGCTGAAACTAAATGCATTATATTAACAGAGATGCTTATCCGTCTAAAGTTAACACCCGTTGCATTATTCATAAGAAGTCTTGTATCCTATTTTAAGTGTTTTATATTAAATCCATCAAATATAATTTCAAACCTATTGTATTCTGCACAATTTATTATTATATCACAATCTTCTCAAAATCAACAAAAAGGAGAATTTAGAGATATAAAAAATGAGCAGCCAATTTGTTAATCATTCAGTTTACACTATCGCAAAAAATCTACTTTATACCTTACGAGTTCTCAGTTTAGGATTGCCTCTTACCGCTCTATAATTGTTAACAGCAATTCTCAGAATACTTTGTGTGCTTGATACTAGACTCTTATAACTTATTGTGGTTTCTACAACAACAGATGTCAGTCGAATAGCATTTCTAAAAATTCAAATATTATCTCTCTATCTCTTTCTCCCTCCCTCCAACTCTTTCTTTCTCACCCCTTTATTTTGTTCTTTATTTCTCCCACCCTTTCTTCTCTCTTTCTCCCTCACTGCTTTCTCCCCTTTTCCTTTCTTCTTTCTCCCCACCTTCCCCTCCCTATTTCTCACTCCCACCTTCCTTCCTCATTCTCCCTACCCTCCCTCCCCCTTCTTTCTTTGCTTTCTTCCTTTTCTCCCTCCATCCCCTCCCCTTCCCTTGTTCACCCTTCCCTCTTTCCTGTTCTTCATTTCTCCCTCCCATCTTCTTTCGTTCTCTCCCTCCTTCCTTCCCTTCCTTCCTCCTTTTCCCTCCCCATTTTTCAGCCCACCCACCTATTTCTCCCTCACTTTCTCTTCCCACTTTTTTATATATTTGACTGTCTTTTCCCCATGGTTGATAGTGTGATTGGACCTCTGCATGTAGGTAGTTGTAGGGTTTCTGTCAAATAATCCGGCATTGTCTGCTGTAGAGTTTTGTTTTGACAACCTGAGATCCCTTTGGTTTTCCGACAGGGAGCATTCACTCAACAGGAGGCTTCAGCCTCAGGCAGGTCACCTAATTTTACACAAGGGAATGTGTAGTGGAGGGAGGGCAAGGAGTCTGATCCTTGACCCTGACTGAGGTGTGCCAAACCATGGCATGGGGAACTAGGGAAGATGCCAAGGGAGGTTGTCCTTACTTAGTTCCTGTTGATGGTCTTCATGAAGCCTGGGAAATCTAAGCAGCCACAAATAACTCTGCAAAACATGTTAAACTTGAGGTCGCCAATCTCATTAAAATAATTAAATGGTCAACTCGCCTCTTGTGAGCAGGTTGACTGTTCCTCCCTTGTCATACCTCTATTAAATACCAAGATGAGCAGGTCAGGTCAGATTTTAAATGTTTAAGATTGAAGCATCTTACACAAGGACACCCCTAGGTTTTTGTGGTTAAGATTCAACCCTGTATATCACTGCCTTGTTTCTGGACCTCCACCCATGAAATGGACCAATTTTGCAGGAATATAAGTGTAGCCCAATGAGATTACTGTTCTGGCTTTATTTTCTGTCCCATCTGATCTCGACCATGATCAGCAGCTGTGGAAAGTCTCTGAAAGTTTTCTGTTCTTCAGAACCAGTAAAGGCAGACAATAAAATGAATCATCACAGCTGTTCTTCTGAATGCTGACCTAGGACCTGTGGAATTATCTTACCCCCAATTTGTAAAGTCCTGATATTTCCCCAGGACCCACTTCTTTGTCTTTACTGAGTGCTGCGAACTGCTGTACAAAGATTTGCAGGATGTACTTGGTGGGTATACCCACAATGAGCTTTTAGCAGTCAAACTGACAAACTTGCGGTGGTCTGGCTGGGGATTTACAGAGGTCAAAACTGTGGGAGTGTCCAGAAGCCAGCTTAAATCTGCCAAATTCCAGGATTACTTCAAATGAGTTTGACTGGTTCCATCTGTCCTCGTCGGGAGAAGGGACTTAACAAGATAATTACGTTAGTCACTCAGTTCTTGCAATATTTCAAGCTGCATTCAAATTTTGAGAACGTGTGTTAACATCCCCAAAAAGTTCTCAGTACAGATGTGACAACTGCAACTTGGAGACAGTCAGGATTGCAGATGCTGGAAGCCAGAGTCAATAGATGTGGAGCTGGAAGAGCACAGGAGGTCAGACAGCATCTGAAGAGCAGGAAAGCCAGTGTTTCAGGCCAAAATCTTCTCGGATGCTATCTGGCCTGCTGTGCTTTTCCAGCTCCACATCTATAGCTAACCGCATCTGTACGGTACCCCTACCAGCACTGACAGTGACATCATTTGTCTCATTTGCTCATATCTATTGTGCTTCTTTGAGTGCTGCCATGTTTTTTACTGGCAGTGTTTCACAAAGTGTTCATGTGTGCACGCACACAACTTCGACATACACACAATGCAAACCTGTTGGAGGTGTCAGGAGAGACAGCCTCAAATTTAATGCAGCGTCAATGGGTTTCTGAAAGGTTTATTGAAACTAAGGTGAAGACTGAATGACAATTGATAGTGCTTATTTGAAGGTCAGGTGAACATAGTAAGAAATATTAATTGTTTCCAGACAATTTGTTATCTATAGCGACTTTTTTATAAAGCATATTTAACATAGTAAAATGTCCAAAGGCACATCCAATACAGAATTTGACACCTAACCACAAAAGGAGATATTTGGGCAGATGACCAAAATTTTGGTCTTAAAGGAGGAAACAGTAGAATTGGAGAGTCTCAGAGAGGGAATTCCCGAGATAGTGAAGGTAGCTGTTGAGTGGTGCGGTGATTAATTGGAGGTGCTCAGTGTCATATTGGCTTGTACATTACTCATGTGAAGCATCTCCTGTATAGCGCCTTGGTGAGACCACGTTTAGAGTATTGTATGCAGTTTTGGCCTCCTTCTCAAAGTGTACAGCAATGGTTCACCAGACTGGCTTCAGGGTTGGTAGGTTTGGTGTATGAGATGAGAGTGGGTCAAGTAGACCTATATTCACTGATATTTAGAAAAATGAGAGGGGATCTCATTGAAATCTGTAAAAGCCTGACAGGGCTGGACAGACTGACTGCAGGGATGATGTTATCCTTGACTGGGAGAGTCCAACTAATAGGGTCATGGTCTCAGGATATGGGGTAGATCACTTTGGACTCAGATGACGAGACATGTCTTCACTTACAGGGTGGTGAACCTGTGGAATTTTCTAACACTGAAGGCTGTGTAAGTTGATTATGTTTAAGAAAGAAATAAGTAAATAGTTTTATAAAGAATAAAGGTCTCCATGGGGATGGGGTCAGAGTGGGTATGTGGCACTGAAGTAGATGATCAATCATGACCATGTTGAATGGACTTTACTAAAAGCATTTGACAAGGGCCCTCATAGCTGACTGGTCCAGAATATTAAGTCACATGGAATCCATGGTGAGTTGGCAAGTTGAATGCAAAATTGGCTTGGTCATAGACAGAGGATAGTTGTAGAGGTGTGCTTTTCTGTCTGGAGGTCTGTGACTAGCTGTGCCCTGCAAGGATTAACCCTGGGATCGCTGTTGTTTATAATATGCATAAATGATTTGGATGAAAATACAGGTGGTCTGATTCATAAGTTGGCAGATGACACAAAGTTGGTGGAGTTGTGAATAGTGATGAACGTTGTCAAAGGATACAGCAGGATATAGACCAGTTGCAAAGTTGGGCAGAGAAATGGCAGATGGATTTTAATCTGGACAAGTGTGAGGCAATACATTTTTGAAGATCAAATGTGAGAGGAAAGTATGCAGTAAATGGCAGGACCCTGAGGAGCATACAGAGGGATCTTGGGGTACAAGTCCATAGCTCCCTGAAAGTGACAACACAAGTGGATAAGGAGATCAAGAAGGTATATGGTACATTTGACTTCATTGGTCGGGGCATTGAGTCTAAAATTTGGCGAGTCATGTTGCAGCGGTATAAGACTTAGTTAGGCCACATTTAGAGTATTGTGTGTAGTTTTGGTTGCCACACTATAGGAAGGATATGGAGGCTTTGGAGAGGGTGCTAAAGAGGTTTATCAGATGTTGCCCTGGATTGGAATGCATTAGCTATAATGAGAGTCTGGACAAGAGATTGTATTGTTTTCACTAGAGTGTTGGAGGCTGAGGAATGACCTGATAGAGGTATATAAAAATATGAGAGGCATGGATAGGGTGGATAATCAGAGTCTTTTTCCCAGGGTGGAAATGTCAAATTTGGGGGACGTTGGTTAAATGTGAGAGGAGTAAAGTTTAAAAGAGATGTGCAAGGTAAATTTTTTTACACAGAGGGTGGTAGATGCCTGGAACACACAGGGAGGTGGGAAAGTGGATATAATAGCACAGTTAAAAGGTTTTTAGACAGACACATGAACAAGCAGGAAAAAGAGGATACAGACCACGTAGGGGTGGCACGGTGGCTCAGTGGTTAGCACTGCTGCCTCACAGCACCAGGGACCCAGTTTCGATTCCACCCTTGGGCGACTGTCTGTGTGGAGTTTGCACAGTCCCTTCCTGTCTGTGTGGGTTTCCTACGGGTGCTCCAGTTTCCTCCCACAGTTCAAAGATGCGCAGGGTAGGTGGATTGGCCATGGGGAATGCAAGGCTACAGTGATAGGGTTGGGGGTAGGTGTGGGTGGGATGCTATTTGGAGGGTTGTGTGGACTTGATGGGCTGAATGGCCTACTTCCACACTGTAGGGATTCTGTATGCAGTAGATGGGATAGTTTGAAATAGTACCATGGTTGTCATAGATGTGGTGGGATGAAGAGCCTATTCCCTTTGCTGTACAATTCTGTCTTCTCGTAAATGTTTGCCAAGGTCAGCTTTGCAGCAGTGAGAGTCAGTCGAATGGCACGGCTGCTCAGGTTTGAGTGACTGGCTGGCTTTCCACAGTTCCCACTCCTGCCAATCCACACACCTCTGCATTAGC